TTTTTTGTTAGGCTTTGGTGTTTTTAATGGTTGAAGGTTGCAGGATACCAGCTCCTGTGCACTGATGAAAGTAGGTGATGGTCCCCTGCCCCCAGGAAGTTGAGCATATTTAAGATGTAACTTACCGACAGTTTTAAAAGTCAGCGTTTGTAGCTTTTCAATGTGTGTTTGGACTCTTAGGCTTCATCAGCAGAAAACTTCCAAAGGTATGAAATTGTGTGCATTATAACCAGCTTGAGAAATACCCCTCAAAATGCCCAGCTTGTCTTATTATCAATGCATGCTGTTTTAAAGAGTAATTTCAGATAAAACTTTGCCTGTGCACCCGTCACTAGAATAAAGGGTTTATTTCCAAGTTAGTTTTATATCAAAGAAATCATGTGTGTGCTCAAACATTATTTATCTGTATTCCTTCCATCTTACTCAATACTGTTGACTATGTAATCAAAGCTTGTATATAGATGTTTATAGATGAGTAAACACCTATGGAGTTGGAAATCCTAAGCTTAAAGGAATGCCTAAGCATCAATTTAATGCAAATGATACGGTGCTGTCTTTTTTACTGTAGATGCTTTTTCCATGTGTAGGGATGCAAGTATGACAATTTGGTGGCTCAAGTTCTTTTATTTAAAAAAGAAAAAAGGAAAAGAAGAGAACAGACAACATGATAGCATTTTCAAAATTTCACTTAGTAATCTAGAACCACAAGCCTGTTGACATTGTCCTGCGTCTGCTAACGGGTGAGAGATGTGGAAGAAGCTTAAGGGATCTGCACACCCTTAGATTTTCCAAATAAACACGCTGCTTAGACTTTCCTAACTCTTAACTGTTGACTCCTCCATTTAAAAGGGACAATAAACAGGAGGGAGATAGATGACTCAACTTGATAGCCCAAGAGCTCACTAATGGTACAAACTGACACTTGGAAGCAATCCAGAGTGGCATCTTAGACAAGCCCTTCCATGTTTCCCCTGCAGACAGCCCTAATGGAAGCTCTACATGTGAATGAGCAAGAATATAAATTGCTATTGTTTTCTTTTATATTGTTAAGTAAAATTTTTATAAGTGCATTTATCACTTTAATTACTGCATTGCTCTTTAAACCCAGAAATAGCATTGCCTGACACAAACACACTGATCTTGTAAAACACACACAGCTTCCCTCTCATTTTCCCTGCTCCATTTCACATGGAATCTTTCTGTAAAATTTAAATATTTGCATATGTTTACTTTAAATGCTCTGATGTAAACCCTGACAAGTTCCTCATTTATAAACTAACTCTCACATCACTTGAAAGGAAAAAAAGTATATTGGCAGTTTCTTCTTCCATTGCTCCCTATAAGGTAAATGCTGAAGGCTTTCCTTCATCACAAGCTCATGTTTATAAAAAGTGTTTTATGGGGTTATTACATTATTCCTTGAAGGGTAGAGCCCAGAGCTGTTGATCCTTAGTTTGAATTCACAATTCATCTTAAGCTTACTATCTTGGCCTATCTGTATCCTATCATGCTAATTTTAACCTTAGCTATTTGGAGATGAGTGATAATTGTAGTAATATCTATGCATTTTTCTTGCCCCACCCCATTCTCTGACAGAGGGATGATGAATTTGTCCAATTTTTATAGTGCTTTTTATACCCCCTCGGAAGGCGCTTGCTCCTATCTCGGGTTTACTATTTAGTATAAAGAGTTCCGATTTGGGTATATTTAAGAAAGACTCAGCTGTCAAACGCAAAGAAACTGGGAATGGTGTTTTGACAACCATATAGTGTTAAAGGAAATGCTGTAGTCTGAATAAAATTGCTTATGTTCTCCAAAACAAGAGTAATATAAAAACACTTTTTTATTTATATGGAAAAGCAAAAGCAGAAATAAACTCCAAAGGTTTCCCTTTCTTCAAGAAATTCCGAGAGAGAGCTGCAGTCCCCATCTGTTAAGGGTTGGGAATTGAGCAAAAAGCCACATTTTAAAGGAAAAAGAAAGTCCAGAGAAGGGAATCTTCCACGCTCCCCATCTCCTGCCCATCCCCGGGTCAGCACCCTGAACCCCTACTCCAGATCACTGGCTGGGTCTGTCCAGTTCATCAAGGTCCTCCTCGCCGGCTGGCCCTCCCACTCCCGCGGGCCTGTTAACCCGGAGCAGACCCGGGAAGGGAAATGTGGCTAACATCTCTAGCAGCTGTCAAAAGGAGGGCCCTTCCTTCAAAGGGATCCTCCACAAATTCTCCATTAGTCTTGCAGGCCAGCAATTTGATAAGGAGCCTGGACCTCTGCTACAAGTTGCCACTTTGCTAGAGGGTCTTCTGCTGAGGTGTCTAAATGGCCGAGTGGACCTAGCTAGGCGACCACCCTGTGGTCCAGGCGCAGGGGAGATGCAGGGGGGGGGGGCCAAGAGCAAGGAGGATCTGGTCTGCAGGCGGTCGTGCATGCAGAAGGCCTCCCCCTCGTGAGTGCGTTTGCTGCACAGACGAACCTGCTGCAAAGTGATGGAGAGGACACGTAACAGTTTCTTTTGCAGTGATCAACTAGGGACACCGCGCGCGTGGGGAGCCCCCGAAGTCCCACCGGGGCTGGAGGAAGGTGCAGCGTTGGACTGCGGCGGTCAGATCGTGATGAGAATGGGGACCGTCGGGGCAGTGTTTGAAGGGAGGTTTTAATATTAATAGTTTCGCTGTAGAGACAGAAGGGAGATTGCGTCTACTGCTCCTCCGGGCAGACTCTGGGTGACAGGAATGATGGATGATCCGGCAGAGCCCAGCGGCCCCTCCCCTCAAGCCCCAACAGTGTCAAAGCTACTTTAGCTGAGGCTTTAGAAATAAAATAAATAAACAGCATCGCCCCCTTCTCTTCGCACCGCCGCCCCACCCCCCGCTTTCCGACACCGATTTATGGATCATTATGAATCAATTACTGCTCTCAATACTTTCCCATTGGCTTAAATAAAAACAGTGGAAAGATGAAAACGTGGGGTTTTGGTAGGGAACTTTTTTTTTCTTTCTTTTTTTGCTCCTGACAGGAACAATCGCAAAATCCATTATCTCATAATCAGAGGCCCTGGGTTAGGAGGTGAAGAGAAAAGAAAGGGTCACTCAGGAAATAACGCGGGAGCGCCAGAGGGGGAGGTGTCGCTCAGTCGCTGCCTTTGTGGTATTTGGTTTGTTTGTTGTGTGTTTGGGGTGTTTTGAACGCAGGGGAGAGGGGTTGCGGGTGAGAATACGATGCCTCCAAGTTCGAGGACCTGACCCTTAAACTCCTTTGCCCAATCCTCCCGCAGTGCGTGCCCGGGCAAGCTTCTCTTGGTGGCCTGGAGTGTGGTCGCACGTGGGGAAAGGTGTGGAGAAACCCACTGGTCTGCAGGACAGATTTGCACTTTGTCATGGGCAACTGTGCTAGGGCGGCTTGGGGGCCGCGCGGGGACAGTCCCCCTCCTGCCACTCCGCCCCGTCCCGCACGCCGCTGGCTGGTTTTGTCTTGCAACTGTTTGGGGTCTGGACAACCTCCCCTCCTACCCCCACCTCGCCCGCCCGAAGCTTTTCTTCCCTCTCCGGCCTCTGGCGGGGCGGCGCTCTAGGTCCTAGTAGGTGTTTCTATGACTACATTGTGTGTGTGGGAGGGTCAGATGTGGGGGTTGCCCGAGAGAGGGCCGTTCCTGGGCGGTCATTTATCAATGTCACCCACATAATGATTCTCTCTGCAGCGTCCTATTGATGAGGATAATTACATTAGCTCAGAGTGACTGATCAATGAAAAACCACCACACAAAAACTTCTTCACTCCTCTATAATACCAAAAACCGATACAGAAATAACAGAAAGTCGGATTCTCTTCTCCTCCTCTATCCTCGGATGGATTCTGCACCCTGCCCCACCCCCCATCCCTGCGGCCCCAGGACCCGGGAATAAAGTAACAAAATAGACCTAGGTTTGTTTCGTTCAAGGAGGATGCAGTTTTGCCTGTGAATGTATTTGCTCTAAGTGTGTTGGCTTCGTTCCTCCTTTGGTAAAGAATATCAACGGATTTGCTACTGTGGGTGGCTTTTAGAGTGGTCTGTGGTTTTCCGTTCTTTTTATTTCTTTTCTTCCAATTGGACCTTTCCCCCTACTTCAAAAAAAATGATAGGCAATACATCAATGGAAAAAGAAATTATTCTAGATCCCTTCTCTAGATTAAAAAAAAATAAAGCATTTGTCTTGATCGGGTTATCTTTTTGTCTTTACCACTTCACAAAGTAGGGCAATTAAAGATGTGATGTTGTGTGCGAATTAAGGGTGGACCCATTTATATGGCAGCATCCCTTGCTATATTCTCGCCTGAAAGTTTGCAGCTAAATTACGATTTCACTTTTTCTAGACTTAAAAATCAATATTTTCTCAATTAAAGAGAATTTTAATGCCTTACTTGCGAGTTGTTAAAGGCGCTATAAATTTTATTGTAATGTTTCTTAGCTTCGGAGTAGATTCAAGAGACGTTTGTTCTCCAGGTCTTTTTTCCGTCTCAGAGATCCTAGCCAGGAGCCTGCCACCGGCTTCAGATGAAACAGCAGCCACAAAGGTAAGGAGAGTTCCGCAGGGACCCGGCACTGGGAGGGACCCCTCCACGGCCAGAGGCCATTGTCTGGGGTCACCTCTCTGGGTCCCACCTCCCGCAAGTAGCAGAAGTGTTCATTTAATCTTTCTCAGAGGCAAGCACAAGAGACCCCCATCTGCTCTAGGACAGTCAGAAAAAGAGGTGCACTTCAGAAAGATTCTAGACGCTTCCCAGTGCCCTCACCCCCTTCTCTTTTCTCTAAAGTGTACCGCAGACTTTCACAAATTCTGCCCCAACCTCTGTGTCCCAATTCGCTCCCCACTTTCAAGAGCAGGCACTGTTTCCAGATGCCTTCTCCTTCCACTCCGCGCGCCCCACCTAGTAAAAGTTCTCCTCGAAGAGAGCTGACTAGTGTCTTAACAGTCCTGGTCCGCTACTGCTCTCGCCTACAAGCTTGAAGTCTAGTGACATAGG